CTAAGTTACATTAAAGATATACTTAGCTTAAAATCAAAAACACAAGAAAAGGCAAGTGTTGGGGAGGATGTGGAGAAAAAGGAACCCTCTTGCACTGTTGGTGGGAATGCAAACTGGTGCAGCCACTGTGGAAAATGGTATGGAGTTTCCTCAAAAAGCTAAAAATACAACTACCCTACAATCTAGTAATCACACTACTGGGTATTTACCTCCAAAATACAAAAGCACTAATTCAAAGAGATACATGCAATCCCTATGTTTGTTGCAGCATTATTTATAATAGCCAAACTATGGAAACAGCCCAAGTATCCATTGATAAATGAAGATGTGAAATAGATGTGTATATACACATATACATATACATACACAATGACATGTTATTTAACCATAAAAAGGAATGAAATCTTGCCATTTGCAATGACATGGATGGAGCTACAGTATAATGCTGAGTTAAATTTTAAGTCAGAGAAAGACAAATGCCATGATTTCACTCATATGTAGAATTTAAGAAACAAAACCAACAAGCAAAGGAAAAAGGGCAAACTAAGAAACTCTTAACTACAGAGAAAAAACATGGTTACCATAGGGGAGGAGGTTGGGTGGATGGGTGAAATCGGTGATGATTTAAGGTGTACACTTGTGATGAGCACTGGGTGATGTATGGAATCGTTGAATCACTGTATTATACACCTGAAACTAATATAACACTATGATAACTATACTGGAGTTAAAATAAAAAGCTTAATAAAAACAAGGAAAAGAGATAAAATATTACACATTAAGGTTTATTTTTAAATTTTTTTTTAACGTTTATTTTTGAGACAGAGAGAGACAGAGCATAACGGGGGAGGGTCAGAGAGACGGAGACACAGAATCTGAAACAGGCTCCAGGCTCTTGAGCTGTCAGCACAGAGCCCGATGCGGGGCTTGAACTCACGGACCGTGAGATCATGACCGGAGCCGGGGTTGGCTACTTAACCGACTGAGCCACCCAGGCGCCCCTAAAGGTTTATTTTTTTACTTGCTTTCTGAAACCTGATTCCATTTAGTGGCTTTTTTATTTTTATTTTAGAGAGAGCGTGCATGAGTGCAAGAGGGGGAGAGAATCTTTGTAAGTTTTTAAAATTTATTTTGAGAGAGAGAGAGAGAGAGAGCACGAATAAGTGAAGAGCAGAGAGAAAGAGAATCCCAACCAGGCTCTGTGCAAGTTAGCACAGAGCCTGACACGGGGCTCAACCCCAAAAGCCTGGGATTATGATCTAAACTGAAAACAAGAGTCAGATGCTCAACCAACTGAGCCACCCAGGCACAACCACTCAGTGGCTTTTAAAATAAAATAAATACTAAATGAATATTGCTTGTATATGCATAGTCTCCAAATGAATTTTTTTTCCTTTTATAAGATATAGTAGTATAAAGATGATTTCTCCTTATATTTGCTTTATATAAGCAACTGATTTTTCAAAATTAGAATACATCAAAAGATTTTTTGTGAAAAGATTCAATGTTATCATCAGAAATTCCCAGATAGTATTTCATTTGCAGGGCTATTTGCTCATTTTGCGATTATGTGTATTTTATATAAATCTAAGTTTTAATTTGTTTTCCTCAACAGTGTTAGGAAGCATTCTGATAATATTATTATGCATTGATGACAGTAGGTCCAAAATGGTCATTCTAAATTCAAAAGAAAAGGATATGACAAAACAAACACTGGTCATCTATTCATAGAAAATCCACTGTTTTCCTGCATTCTATGTAGAATTAAAAATCCTATATAACTCAAGTTTCTACCCTAATAATCTCTGAGTAATCATCATAGCCAGGTTTTGTTTTCATGGTTCTCAAAAAGATCATGTCTTACCATGTTTTCACCCATATGTGGATCCTGAGAAACTTAACAGAAGACCATGGGGGAGAAGAAAGGGGAGAAAAAAAGTTAGAGAAAGGGAGGCAAACCATAAGAGACTCTTAAATACTGAGAACAAGCTGAGGGTTGATGGGGGGTGGGGGAGAAGGGAAAGTGGGTAATGGGCGTTGAAGAGGGCCCTTGTTGGAATGAGCACTGGGTGTTGTATGGAAACCAATTTGACAATAAATTATATTTAATAATAATAAAAAAAGATGTCTTAGATGAGACCTGGAGGCAGTTTTACCTAAAAGAGGAAACAAAATTAAACTTCTTAGCATATGAAGAAATATGATTCCTTCTTTCCTCACATTATTTCTAAGCTATCATTTCTGATGGTTTGTGCTCTGGCAGAGGGAGCATTTCCACCCCCAACCAGTATCTGTCCAGATCTGTCTGGCTCAAATATTACTCTTCTATGATGCTTTTCTTGACATCCAACTTGCTCCCCACAAAGCTAATTGCTCCCTTCTCTATGCCACCTCTCTACCTTACATTTACATCTTTCTTTGCACTTAGGTCACTGTTACAATTCTTTTTTTTTTTTTTAAGTTTATCTCTTTATTGAGAGAGAGAGCATGCAGGTATGTGCACACAGCAGAGAAAGGGAGAGAGAGAATCCCAAGCAGGCTCCATGCTGTCAGCACGCAGCCTGACACAGAGCTAGATCTCATGAACCGTGAGATCATGACTTTAGCCCAAATCAAGTCAGACGCTTAACCAACTAAGCCACCCAAGTGCCCTTGTTGTAACTAATCCTTAAATGAGTATTTCCATGCAAGAGTGTTACCTTTTTGGAGGTAGTGTCCATGTCTTACACATTTTTCATTTTTCCCCCCTTTTCTCCATTCCCAAAGAAACCCTGGTACATGTTAGAAGTTCAGGCATTTTCCTTGAACTAACAATTAGGTATACTTTGAGTCTAATTTTTAGTTTTAGGAAGTTTATTGTTAAACAGTAAGAAAGGAATTTCTTAAAACTTTGTTTGATGAGGTTTAAGAGCAAGCATCAACCTGTTTATGGACCTCATTACTATGGCAACAAAGCATAAATAATCCTCTATCAGTCGGCATGTACTGAGCACTGCACTATCTCATTCCTAACTTCACCCAGCACCAGGAAAGCAGCAACACTCATTTTCCAAGAGAACCTTAGGTGCATTTAAGTGCATGTAAAGCCCTTGTCTCTGGTAGAACTAAAATAGAGGAAAATGGACCACTGAAAAGGAGTCTCCTACTTTCGAGTTAGGGATAGGAGAGCAATATATTGTAAACACTCAGTCTTCTAGGCTTCTGTTAGCCTCTCATGTTTTTCCTGTTTGAGGAGTAAGATCTAACCGCCTGAGTTATACAAGGAGAGAAATTTGAGTTTCACTAATGTTATGCCCGTCCTAAGGGAGAGTGCCTGAACCATGAATGCATCCTGCCTTGGAATCAGGGTCGGTTCTAAAAATTTAATTTATAGGCCTCTTTACCTTTATTTCAACCACTTTGTATATGCAGACTACAACTGAAAAGCCCAGATTGGGGAAGTTAAGAAAGACATTTAAATAACTCTGTCCTTGGCTCATTCAGAGACCATCCAAAACAAGAATAAAAATTCTTCTTTATCCTGTAAAAGTTTGATTTCGAGACAGTACAGATATCATGAAATTTATACCAGTCTGCACTAAATGAGAAAAACAGTCTGCATTTTCTGGCTAACTTTATTCAGTTTTTTAACATTAAAATATACTTCCTTTAAATGATGTAACAACTATAGCTCTAGCTCTTGTGTGAAATGAGAACCATGTCCTAGGGGTAGAGGGAGTCTGGGTCTCTAATGAGTGTAGAACAAAACCACTCTCCAGCCCTGGAATGCCTCTGGATTTCAACTTATGAGAGAACTAAACTCCTAACTGGTTTAATCCACTGTTAATTTTGTTCTCAACTGCAGCCAAGTATTATTTCCTGGACCCCTGTAATAGGAACATTTTCTGAGACACACTGCGTTACAGTCTTGTGAGGAGACCAAACTTATTTTCCATATATTACTTAGAGGCTGAAGCGCTCTGCTTGAGGAATAACAATCCATTAAAGATGGAAATCATACTTTAAGAAGATATTTACCTTAAATATTTGGTATATAATAAATGCATTAAGATAAATGCTAATGATATAAAATTTATAGAATGTTTATTATCTAATACTAACTAAAAGGTTTTGTCTACAAATTCTATTCTTATCTGCATACCAGGATAAGATAGGGAGAAAGATTCCTGGTTACCATGAAATTTGTATGTATGCAAATGCTGTCAATATCTTAAAAAAATTTTAGTATCTTAAAAATTTTCAATATCTTAAAAAAATTTTTTTTAATGTCTACTCATTTTTGAGAGACAGACAGAGCACGAGCAGGGGAGGGGCTGAGAGAGAGGGAGACACAGAATCTGAAGCAGCCTCCAGGTTCTGAGCTGTCAGCACAGAGCCCAAAATGGGGCTCAAACTCATGAACCATGAGATTATGACCTGAGCCGAAGTCAGACGCTTAACTGACTGAGCCACCCAGACACCCCTGTATGTATGTAATTTCTAAAGCATTGTGACGTACCTTTTTTTTTTTTTTAATTTAAAGTAGGCTCCATGCCCAACACAGGGCTCGAACTCATGACCCTGAGATCAAGACTCTGATATCAAGAGTCACACACCCTACTGACCAAGCCAGCCAGGAGCCCCAGGATTCTAACATATCCTTAATACAAAGCACTTCACTTAAAATACTCCAGCAAACTCTTAATTGGCAGCAGGATCTATATGTTTTAATGTTGAATGCCCACAAAATCTTATGATAGGTTAGACATCACTTATTTTACCCAAAGCAAAGTGTTATTTCTAATTTTTTCTAATAGAATTTATTAGTTTTCTTAAGATACTTTTCTTAAACAGCTAACATAGGAATACTTAAGTGTCCCCATCAGAAATAAAAATCTGGACAATTACTTTAAATATATGCTTTTACAGCATTTCAAAAACAAATCTTAATTCAAACCAATACCTCTAAAAGGAAATAAAAAATTCAGTTTAGTTTCAAGAGTTTGCATATGGCTGAGAAGGCAGGTCACTTTTACATTTTAACAACACACACTACTATATAATAAATACAAAATAAAGAAATAGTGATAGTTATCATCAAGGATGAAACTATAAACTTTAAGAGACTGCTTTCTGAACCATCACTGATGCAATCTGAGGATTCTCTATTTCATTTACAGACACAATCTCTGTAGTCAAATCTATCATTCACTTTCAAGCCCCAACATGAGAAGTGGTAGGTGAATATCTATAGGAATACAATTTATTGTCTGCTCCTCCACTCAGAAGTAACTGCGTAAAGGGAGAGAAAAAAAAAAAAGCACAAACATATAAGTAAATATAATTATTTCATATGATAGTTAAACACAGTTAAATACCGATGATTCTGATTTATAGAAGGACTTAATGGATAAGCAATTAACTCTCATTCAGAGTTCATACTTAAATGGACCCATTACATCAGTTTTCACTACCATATTATAATACACTATATTAAAACTATAAGAGACTCTAAAAAACTGAGAATAAACTAAGGGTTGATAGGGGGTGGGAGGGAGGGGAAAGTGGGTGATGGGCACTGAGGAGGGCACCTGTTGGGATGAGCACTGGGTGATGTATGGAAACCAATTTGACAATAAATTTCATATTAAAAAAAAAAAAACTTTAAAAATGATCACTTGAATTTGGTTGGGGTGTGATACACTACTACTGTACTTTCCAAGAAACATTTAAGAAATATAATAAAATTTAAAAGTTTGAGGGAAGATATAGTTTACCTATTTAAGAAAATTAAGTTTTATAGGAAAGTATATTAACTATTTGCAGGTAAATGGATATTACAAATTATTCAAGTAGCTCTAGGATCTGTATTTGGAAAGAATTCTTAGGCAATAAGAGCTAATATTTATACGTAAAAATAAGTAAATTGTAATCCTTTAAGCAGACTTTATGGTCTAGACTTATTCTATAAGATTTTTTGTAAGTAGAAAATACTTATCCAGTAGGTCTGAAGGAGCAAGTTTATGGAGTTAAAGCAGTTCATTACAATACTAGAGAAAGAAACTGCTTAAAACTTTCCAAATTTTACTACTCCTAACAGTAAAGGACAAATATGTTTCTTCTTTGAATGAGATGTGAGATTTTATGAGTAATATTAAGGGGAACTTAGAATACAGAATTATAATTATCAGATATATTGAAAGTAGTAACTCTCTAAATATAAGCACCAGATTTATTCTTTTTTCTTTTCACCAAATAACAAATTCTTACCCCTGTGTCTGTCCAGTCTACACTCAGAACTTTGTCTTCATGAGCAGCCAGATCATAGAGAGGAGCCTTACAACTGAAAGATCAAAGTATTACCATGTTATATGCAATTCAAAGTATTAAAAAACATACATGACTAATCACATATAATTTTCTGAAAACTCTACCGACTTTACCATCCTTGCCCCAATAACCAGTTAATCTTAAAAATCCTGAGTATTTACTTGATTGGCTCTGTTGATTTTCCCCTATCGTTAGCAGAATACAGAGATTTATTGCAATAAATATTCAAGAAAAATGCTATTTATTTATAAATATTTATTCATAATTAGGCCCATTTTCATATTCCTTGACTATTTTCCTTTTACCCTCAAATCACGACTTTATACATCCTTTGTCCATCCATATGTATGCTGATAACTCTCAAATTTGTATCTTTAGCCCAAACTTCTCCCCTGATTTTGATATGTATATCCAATTGCCTGACATGTGGTTATCCCATGGGCACTACAAATTTATTTAAAAAAATTTTTTTTTAATGTTTATTTATTTTTGAGACAGGAGCGTGAGCAGGGGAGGGAGCGAGAGAGAGTGAGGGAGACACAGAATCTGAAACAGGCTCCAGGCTCTGAGCTTCAGCACAGAGCCTGATGTGGGGCTCAAACCCATGATCCGTGAGATCATGACCTGAGCCGAAGTCAGACACTTAACCGATTGAGCCACCCAGGCGCCCCCGGCACTACGAATTTAAAATAACCAAAACAAAACTCTTGATCTTCCCTCATAAACCTGTTTCTTTTATTCTTTCCATCACAGTAAGTTGTACCACTAATGGCCTGATTGCACAGGCAGAAAATATGGCCCCTGGATTCCTATCTCTATATTCCATCCATAAGCCAATCCTGCCAAAGAGCGGTCTTCAAAATATACCTAGAATCCAACCTAGGAACTCTCTGCTTCCATTCTTCCCACCCTATTTAGAACCCACAAATCCTTCCCCATAACATTTAGAATGGAACCCAAATTTCTTAGCTTGGCCCCTAAGGTCTTGCTCAGTATACTACCACCTGTCTCATGTCCTGCCATTCTTCTCCTCGCTTACTCCACTCCATCAACACTGACCCTTTTGGTATTTTATCAACATGCCAAGATTTTCCCTACCTTATCTGCTGTTCTCTCTACCATGATTTGTGCATGGCTGATACCTTCCCATGTTCAATTCACTATTATAAAATCACCTTCAAGAATAGCCCACCCCTGAATGCAAATTGGTGCAGCCGTTCTGGAAAGCAGTGTGGAGGTTCCTCAGAAAATTAAAAATAGACCTACCCTATGACCCAGCAATAGCACTGTTAGGAATTTATCCAAGGGACACAGGAGTACTGATGCATAGGGGCACTTGTACCCCAATGTTCATAGCAGCACTCTCAACAATAGCCAAATGATGGAAAGAGCCTAAATGTCCATCAACTGATGAATGGATAAAGAAATTGTGGTTTATATACACTATGGAATACTACGTGGCAATGAGAAAAAATGAAATATGGCCTTTTGTAGCAACGTGGATGGAACTGGAGAGTGTGATGCTAAGTGAAATAAGCCATACAGAGAAAGACAGATACCATATGGTTTCACTCTTATGTGGATCCTGAGAAACTTGACAGGAACCCATGGGGGAGGGGAAGGAAAAAAAAAAAGA